TTTTACTATTTAATTTACCCCATTCATAATAATGTGATGAATGATCCAAAGCAAATGAAATATGGAGATAATTTGTACAAGCCATACTTTGACAATTTTCAATGGGTATTTTTGTCGGCACTTTTGCATCTTGTTCATTATCATTAATTGGTGGTTGACCATAACCACATCCAAAAATCTGACCATCCTCCATCAAAAATAAAGAATGAAATGAACCGGCCATAATATTTTTAATTTGACCATCAGGAAATGAAATCAATGAAGGTGTTCTTCGTTCATTTGTATCGCCTAGACCTAACTGTCCATACTTATTACAGCCCCAGGAATAAATTTCATTTGTATTGGTAAGAGCAAGGCTATGTTCACCACCACAAGCTATTATTTTGACATTATTCAAACCAGTGTTCACGGCAATAACATACGCTGAATTTGAATTACCGGTCAATTGACCAATTCCATTATCTCCTAAAGCAAAAACAATGCCATCTTGTCGTAACAACAACAAATAAAGCTGTCCACATGCTATCATTTCAAAACGATCATTACCGGTTGAGATCAATCGAAAAGTATTGTTCGTTTGCCAATCTGAATCATCACTGGCTAGATACACTAGTCCATCATCAGTTAGAACGACAACAAATTCATTGCCGGATTCGACTTGAATAATTTTTTTGCCATTTAAAATGTTAATCTGTTTTGGTTGTTTGGGATCATGTTTTAACGATAGCCATTCGCATATTTCTTCACCATAAGCATAAGTTGCATCGTTGGTCATACATAGAAAACCTATCTCTTTGAAAAATTGGGTTATTTTATAAATGGAAACGATTCTTGGAATAAATTCCGGATCGATATCTTTTAAATCATTTTGAAATAATTCGATATCCACGTCAATATCAGTTGGTATTTTTTTCATCGTTTTTTTTCTTGAAAATTGAGTTTTGTTCGCAAAAAAAACTACTCAATGGTCTGCCACACAATAACACATAAACAAATCACAAAATGTGTAATGAACACTACTCAATTGAGCAAAATTATCAAATGACAACGTGTGCACTAGCACCCATCAAAACACAAAAAAAAATGATATTGTCGTTAAGGATCATCAGAAAAATTTACAGTTTTTCTTTTGTGTATACAACAGCTGTTTAAGCTGGGTAAAAGGATACAAAAACAAGGGAGGAGCGAAATTTTCATTCAAGAATCGTCTATTTTGACAAATTTAATACAGATTTGGTCGAAATGGACGAATTTGTGATTTTGATAATTATTTGGCGCATAATTTGAAATAATATTTTTTTTTTCATTTTCAATATTTATCATTTTTTTCTAATCATTTTTTCAAATTGATTTGCTAATCAACAATAAAATATTCATTGATTGATTATTTTAATCAAAAAGCAAAAGATAGCGATAGCCAAGTTGAATATTTTTCTCCCTTATTCAAAATCAAACTCAGTAATGTTTATCTTTTAATGTTTTTTTGGTTTGTTAGTTTGTTTATTCAATCCAATCCGATCATAGTTCAAAATTCGAGGAGTATTCATGTTTTTAATTTTGTTTTTCTTCAAACAAACAAACAACCAAACAAATTTGTCACTTTGTTCAAAAATTGATTTTGTTTTCATTTCAATGCAAAACAAGAAAAAAAAAGTCAACAACAACAACAACAACAAATTCTGAATGAAAAATGATATCAAAAACATTAAAAAATGATTTAAAATTTTTTCGTTTTTTTCATCTATCCATACATTTTTTATTCATTTTAATAATGATACAATTATTTTTCGAATCAATCGTTGAATATCGATTATTGGATCAAAATTATTTATCATTAATCATTGATCCAAATGATGATAACAACAACAATTCAATACAATGTTTAAATATTTCAATCAAAATTCAAGATTTTATCATAAAAAGTATTCTGATTCATTCATTTTGATTTTCGCATGCAAAAATTCAATAATTTTTCTCTTTTCTTTTCTCTCCCTTACTCTTCTCATAGAAAATAATGTGGCACGTTTAACATTATTTCAGATAATATTTACAATAACAATCATAATATCAGCCATTCTAATGATCAATCCAAATTGGATTCTAATTACAATACAAACATTATTTCAATCAATATCATTAATATTAAATTTATTTATACCATTTTTATCATCATATTCAATAATAATGTTAATCATATTGATTACAATTACAAGTTTAAATTTGATTTGTATTATATTTAAAATTCGTTTAAATATTGATATTATTCGTCGTCGACGACGTCGTATTGTTCGTGAAATGATTGAAATCGAAGATAGCGGTGATGATAAATCCGATAATATTCGTTCAGAAATAAGCGATCCAATTCCATTGGAACATCGATCATCGATTGTACAGTTTCAATCACATCAACCATCGCCAATGCTACAGCAGCATTATCAAACATCATTACCATTTACCACCATTGTACAGGAACAGATTCCATTTATAAATTCAAATCATCAACATCAACATTATGAAGGTCGTACAACATTTTAAAAATTTTTAAAAATTTTCTTTATTAACATTTGTTGTTGTTTTAAAATATCAATTTTTTTTATAAATAAAAGTTTTTTATTTAAAAAAAGTGCTGTTATTTTTTCAACTATTTATTCAAATTGATCATCTTTAGTTCTTGTACTAATTGTACTTGCATTTGTTACTCTAACCAAACGTAATTCATCATTTTCACTATCAATCAATAAAATTGTTGAATTTCTATCAATTGCCGATGTTATTGTTATTAAACGATTATCAAAATGTAAACGAAAACCATCGTTTGGTTGATCATGACCACGTACCATAAATGATAATGAATTTGTTTGCATAAAATTACGAAATATTGATTGATTAAATTCAATTCTTCGTTCATCCGAATTACTGAATGTTTGTTGATTATCCGATGGATCTTTTGGAACACTTGAAATTAACTGTAAAAGAAAAAAAATAAAGGAAAAAAGAATTAATCGATTGTTTCGTTTCATTCACATGAAATTCAAACATTTTACCTCCAATGCTAATGGACTTTCTTTAGCTAGATTTGCTACTTTTTTCGGTATATCGGAAAATTTATTAATAGGCATTGATAATCGTGGTAAACCCGAATGAACACATAATATATTTTCATCCACTAGTATAGCATATGGTAATAGATTGAATGCACGATTAAATTCGGTCCACATTTGACGACCATCATCTTGGCCATATTTTTGTACACATTCTTTTAATAATTCTTTTGATTGATCCGATGTTTCATTATAACCACGTAGTAAACAAACTTGATTCGGTGCGGCAATTTTCAATGCAAACAAATAACAAATAACATCAACATTTGATCTTGATTGCATTGTTGATCCTTGACCAGAAATATAATTTCCTAAAAATATTAGATTCGTTGTTATGATTGGTACTTGGGTCCAATAAACTTTTTCCAATGACATTAATGATTCAATGCGGCCACAAATATCACCAATAACAATTGCCGGTGCATTAATTTTCATAAAACGATCTTCACATTCTAATATTAAACGAACAAATTCACATAATGTACGTATTGTTTGTAAGGCAAGTGGTAAATCTTCCGATGTTGAAAATAGATTATCATTTTGTAGATATGCACGACGTACTAGATCTAAAAAATTACGACATATTGTATTCATACCGAATACATATTCGGCTGAATAACGTGATGGTGTTATTGTATCACGTATTTCAACTGTGAAAAAATGAACAAACACAGAAAAAAATTAATCAGAATCAGAATCAGAATCAAAAACTTACCATCAAATAAACGTAATGGTTTTACACAACGACCACTTGTATCCAAACAAACACAATGTGAACCAAATTTATATTTTTGTATACGACAACCATTACATGTACCATTACGATTACGATTTTTACTACCGGCACCAGCACCAGCACCAGCACTTGTTGTTGTTGTTCCTGTTGTTGATTGTGATGGTGGTGATTTATGATGCCTAACAATCATTGTACCTGAACGTGATTCTTTTTTCATTTTATTCATTTGTAACATTAATGTTATTATTGATTTTGTTGAACGTACTAATTTTTCTGTTCCTTTTAATATACGATTACGTATTGCTTGTTCAAATATTTGAAATGTAATTGGTTGTGCACTACCACCACCACTACCAACAATATTATTTAAATCACGTATTTTTTTCTCTAAATCTTCAACCATTTGTCTTAATTTTTTTGTTTCTAAATTTGGATATAAATCATGTACAAGCGAAACAAATTCTTCAAATGATAATTCATCATTTTTTTCCAATGCATAAAAACGAAATATCATTTTTAAACGTATACTATGTTCATTACTTGTATTTGGATCTAAACAAACAATACCGATTAATATTTGATTAAAATCTAAATAACCTAAACGATTAATATCCAATGCATTGAATATCCATTCTTGTGCACTAGTATCACTACGTGAATAACCATAACGAATAAGAAATGTTTTAAATGCAGCCATACACATTAATGTTGATGGCCAACAATGTTCCATATATTCTTCATAAATAGCAATTACGGTTTCATTTGTCATTTTACATGCGGTTAAAAATTTTCCAAATATTTTATCCGTTAATATTTCACAAACATCATCTAATGTTTGTTCATTAATTTGTAAATCAATTAATTGATCATTTACTGTTGAACCACCACCAATTTGACTACCGGTTAATGTATCATCTAAACTTGTTGTCATTTGTTCAGCAAGTTTTTCAGTAAAATTTAACATTTCTGGTCCCCATAAATATTCATTCTGTACAATTTCATTCATTGTCATCCATGTTATTACTGATGAACGATCGGATTGTTCAATATCTTGACAACAAACATAATCACCTTGTTTTTCCATATGTACAAAATGTGTATAACGAATGAAATAACGATCACCAGACATTTGAAAACGTAAAAATTGCATTGGTGTTACTTGCATTGGTGGTAATTTTGAAACACCACCATTAACAATTTGCATTGAATCTTCATCATCTCTATAACCGAACAGCATTGTTAAACCATCTTGTGCTGCTTGTTCCCATGTAACATTATCTTGTAATACAATAAATGGTAACCAAATAATACTATCACGATTATTATTACGTCCACGTTTTAATCTTGTTATTGCAATACGATCATGATTTGGACACATCATAAAATAAACAATACAATCATAAAGGCTAACATTTTCAGGTAATGTACCATCTTCCGGTCGTAAACGAGTAATATCTAATATTAATTTTATACCGGGTGATCCAGAAATACCGGATGATGAACCAATACCAATCGAACCAATCGATTCAAATGATGATGATGATGATGTTCGTTCAATACTAGTTGATGGTGATCTTTTTGCCATTATTTTTTGCTTTGATATTTTCGAATTTGGCAACAACAATTTGAAACAAATGTTATTTCCATTTGTATTTATTTTCTTTCAGAACAATTTTTCTTCCAATTAATGCCATGTTCTATAATCGAATCGAATGAAAAAAATTTCGTAATTTAATAAACAAAAATCAATTTTCAGGGTCAAAATAAGTAACAACAACAAAAAACAAACAAACTACCTGTTGTTATATAAAAATCTTTCTGTTTTTTTTGAAAAACATCTTATCTATTCAATAGATTTTGGATTTAGATAATCAAAGATGATGATGATGTTGAAATACGAAAAAATTTACACTTAGAGAGAAAGGGAGAAGAGATTGTTAATTATTCAAGGTCACTATAATGTACAGGTATTTTGTTTTGGATGTTCAATTTCAATTTCATTTCTCACTTTTTTTATATTTCATTTTGCAAAATTTAAATCAAATTCAAGGTGTGAACATCATTTTTCTTCAAAACATTCGAATGAAAACATTCGAATTCGTTGTCAATTCGTTGATGACGCCTATTTTAATCCTTTTGATGATGATACAGTCGTTATAGTGATGATGGTGAAGATTTTGTTGTTTTCGATTTTCGACAAAAAAAATGAAAAAATGAAAAATTCATTTGAACAAAATTAATCAATCAATCAAACCAAATATGAATATTCTAAAATTATCAATGATGTCTATTACGTCATTAAAATTGATTATCATCATCATCATAATAATTAATATTGCCGGTGTTGTAAATGGTCAACAACAACAACAACAACGACAACGATCATCATCAACAACGACGTTCAATGTTAAGAAAAATATCAAATGTAATCGTACAAAATTTGAAAATGATTTTGATCGTTTAATGGTTGTTAGCCATTCGGAACGTAAATTTCCTGAAAATCAAAATGAATTGAAAAAATTTTGTCAGTAAGTTTTTTTCGGTTGTTTGTTTGTTTGTTACTCAGAATATATCCAAAAAATGATAATGTTTTTTCCCCTCTTTTCACAAAAGTGAATCAAAAGAAATATTTGCTTCATTAAACCAATATAAAGATCAATGTACAAGAGAAACATTGAAAAATTTTCTGGCCATAATTCTTTATTCAGTACGTGGCAATATGAAACGTATTTGTTCGAAACGTTTATCACAGCAAACATTATCATTAATTGATGCATCTGAATGTATGAATCGTAATAAACAACCGATTGGTCGTTGTATGGATAGTGCAAGTTTAAATTATGCTGCTATAAAACATATACAAAATGATAGAAAAATGCCACAACTTTGTTGTCAATTTGTTGAAATAATACAATGTTTTACACAGGTTATGATCAAAAATAATTGTGAAGATAAATTACCAGTATTATTGGAAACAATAACCGGTGTTGTTGGAAATTTTCTCGATTCTACTTGTGGTGAATATAATCTTGATACTGATAAATGTGAACAATTACCATCATTGCCGATTGAAAATTTACGACCATATTCAAAAAGTTTTGTTACAAATTTAGTCGATATATTTGAAAATGTTTAGAGAATTTTTTTGTTTTTTGTAAAGAATTTCTTAAATAAAAATTATTTTATCAATTTTGTTTTCGAGAAAAATCTTTTTCAATGTCAATGATTGATTGAATCAGATGATTTGTTGATGGTGGTGGTGGTGGTAATGAAATTGAAAAACGCGAAACATGAAAATCAGAAATTCATTTCAAACGAAGCAAAAAAAACGATATTCTTTTGATTTGAAATGTGACATTTCAGTGGAAAAACATTCGAGAATGAATTTAATGAAAAAGATTATTAATGATTAATCCTGTGATTGCATCCCAATTAAATTTTGAAAAGAAAAACAACAAACATCACAAACAAAATGAAACGTAAGAAAGTGAAAAAAATACATACCCCCACCACCATCAAAACTAATGCAATATGTATTTTTGTATATCAAATGAAATTCTTAATTTCTGGAAAAATTTCAATTTTTCTAGCTTGGGTGATTAGTGCAAGGAAAAATGATAAACTTTTTCTAGAGAGATTTAAGAAGAATGTCAAAATTAATCAATCAATTTTTCTTCTTGTATACGTCATTTTTTTATTATTAATTTCCATAAATTTCATCGATTACTACATCAATCTTACCTTGATAAGAGAGAAAGGTATCGTACCTTCGTATCGTCGTCGTCGAATGTATAAATATGGCTGAAAATCATTATCACCAAATCATCATTGGAAACTAATTTGAATCAAATTCTTTGCTTCAGATTCTGTATTTTTCTCTTTGTGAAAACTGAATTTTTCACGAATCTTTTTTCATCTATTTTTGTTTGAAATGATAACCAACGAACAACAACAACAACGATGATGACCAGAAAATTTTCATTGATAATCGCCATATGGATGATACTAACAACGATAACAACATCGGAAGCTAAAAAAAAATTTGACTGTGATCATTTAACCGATTTTGCTAACGATGTTATTATTGTTACATCAAAAACAAGAAAATTTCCAACAACATTACCGGAATTTTCTACATTTTGCAAGTTAGTTTTGCAATTGATTTTTTTTTTGAATTTTGACTGATTTAACCCTTTCTCCCCTTCAAAAAACATAGACAAAATTTACAGCTTGCAGCCGATGTAACAACAATGTCAAAACAATGTTTTAAAAATGAAATGAAAAATATTATTGCATTAGTTGGTTATTCATATAGACAACGTATGAAATTATTATGTAAACGTAGTAATAATAATTCAAAAGCAAATGCTGTTATATCAGCTGCACCATGTTTAAATCGTTTCCGATCGAAAATGGCAAAATGTTTTGATCGTACTGCTAATCGTATTGCAGAGATAAAATCGCAACCAAATAATCTAAAATTTCCATATCTTTGTTGGTAGGTTTTCAGTTTATTTTTTCTTCAAAAACTTTATTAATTTTTTTTCAATTTTTCTCAAAACACAGCGAAACTGGACAAATAAGAAAATGTATTGAAAAAATACAATCAGGTGATTGTAAAAAAGATTTACAAGGTTATATTGATAATGCATTAGAAATGACAAATGGTTTTATTGATCGTAGTTGTGGTGAATATAATGATGAAACAGATAAATGTGATCGTTTAAAACCAATAACAGTAAAAAATGAACAAACAAATCCAAGTCTTATTGTTAATGTTGCTGAATTGATTGCAACAATTGAATAAATGGAATTGATTGATCGATTGATTGATCGATCGATCGATCGATCCAACCAAAAATCAATCAAATCGAATCAAATCAATTTTGAGTTTTGTAAAACATCATTAAAACACATCATCATGCACCACACACACAAACACACATTAGACATGACCTTAAACAAGACAAAAATGAAAGGGGTACACTACTTATCATCAATCATTAACCTTGAAATGAATAAAAAATTTCCATTTTTTCAATTTTTTTTGAATTTTTTTCTTGTTCAAAATCGCATCTTTCTTTCTTTTTTTTGTTTTTCTCTTTTTTCCGTTTATTTTTCTCTCTCGCATCTCGCATATCGCATCGCATCTCTTTCATTTTAAATTTACATATCCAATTCAGAAAAACATCCTTTGTTTGTTTGTTTGTTGAGAAAAGAAATGGCTTGGCTAGGCAATAAATAAACATCCGAAGGATGCGCATTTTCTTTTCTTCAAGATTTGCTCTTTTTTTTTGATGATAATGATGACCACGATACTATGATGATGATGATGTTATTATCCTCAATGATGGTCAATTTTTTTTGGCATCTTATTTCGCACATCATATTTATAAGTGATGTGCAAAAAAAAAAATGTTCCAAAAATAAAATTAGCATCATTCGGAGAAAAAATCACATCACATCAAACGGATAACTTACTTTGTTAACGACGCCATCTTTAAATATTAATTTTTCTGTTTGTTTGTCTTGTCTTGAAAATTGTTATTCAATTTGATCGGAAAATGTTTCAATCAATGTTTTTAACGAAAAAATCCAAATTTTTCTTCTTCATTAATTTTCAAATTATAATCAATTTGATCATCAACAATATCGTGGTTATTGCGGTTAATCAACAAATAAATTCCAATTCAAATAATAATATTCGTTGTGATCGTTTTGATGATATGTTTAATGATTTTACAATGGTTTCATCAAATCGACGACAATTTCCAACAACATCCGATGAATTTATTAAATATTGCAAGTAATAATTTTGAATTTGAAATCCTTTTCTTTGGTGATTTTTGATTTGCATTTCTTTTCTTTTTTGTTTGATTTGTTTTTGACGTAGAAAAAATATTGATCTTGCCAATCAATTATCACAATCGATAAAAAAATGTTTGGATGATAATTCAATGCGTAATATTGCATCATTAGTTTTATATTCATATCGTTCACGTACAAAATCATTATGTAAAAATCGTAATAGTAAACGTGCACGTGAATATATTAATGCTGCACCATGTTTAAATCAATATAAACAACGTTTATCAAAATGTATTGATATAACGGCAAATAAAATTGGTGCCATACAATCGAGACCAAATAATCTAAAATTTCCACATCTTTGTTGGTCTGTATTGATTTAAAAAAATTAAAAATTAAAAATTTTTGTAATTTTTGCCTGGATTTTTTAATTCAATCTTTTTTTTCAAACAGTGAAAACTTACAATTTCAACGTTGCATCGATAAAATATCGGCCGGTGATTGTAAACAAAAAATAACCGTATTTGCCGAATCAGCACAATCAATAATGAATGGTTTTATTGATCGTAGTTGTGGTGAATATAATTCCGATACTGATCGTTGTGATCAATTAGATCCAATTAATATTGGTGATTGGAAAAATAAATCAACAAAACCAAGTTTTATACGTAATGTTGCCGAATTAATTTCATCAATTGAATGAATAATGGAAAATCGAAACCATTCTTTTCTTTTTCGAAATTATCTCCGAATTATTATTACACCATAATGTATATTTATAACCAATTTCAAAACTTTTAAAAAAATGAATAAAAAAAATTTTATTTTTTACAAAAATCGAATCATTAACAATCGAACAAACAATTCAATTCAATGACAACAACAAATTCGTCCATCACTATCGATTATTTATTAATCAATGTCGTCGAATAAGATTCGATGATATTTTTGTTATCTTTGTTAAACAATTCTGGATCACCATGACACACAATGTGTTTGTGTTCGAATGTGTTTGATGATGGCCAAGATCAAGTGATTGTATTGTTTCAATGGCACAATCCATCGATCCATCAAATAATGTTTGTTTATTTCGTTCATAATGGATCGATCCGATCAGATAAAATCGATACGATCTTTATCGAGTTGTTTTTGAGGTGTCAAAAATATTGATTTTAAATATGGTTATGTAGTCGTCAAGAACAGGAGATTGTTTTGTTTTGGGTGCTGGAAACACACACATAACAAGAACAATGAAGACATTCAAATACGACAATGGTCTTGATGATGATGAAATGGTGGTCAACGAAGATTTTTGATTCATTTTTCATTCATGGTAAAATCCTTGTATTTTGATTGTTTACTTTATGAAAATTTTCAAATTTTTTTTATTGAAATCGATTATGATGGGTTCATTGTCAAAGTCTATTTGAATGAAAGAAATTAATGTACAATATTTGTCATCAAATCCATCAATTATCATCATCGCGGATGCATAACTCTTCATTGAATGGCAATGGTATTGAATGATAAACATCAAATACATAGTCCTTTGATACGGACATTTGTCAAATTTCATGGGTAAATCCTTGTTGAATTTTTTTTGCATGAAAAATTTTTCAAAAAACTTTTCTCTATTTTGTCAACGATTTTTTCAGATCATTTGGTGTACGATTATCAACAATCTGTTGGAATGATTGGCATTCAATTCTACGATTATCAATCAATGTATTATTGAATATATTGACTATTTATGGAATGTATCTTGAATCGGATCATACATTTGGTTCATATCGTACACGATCATATCTTTATGTACATTTTCATCGTGCTAGTATTGTTGTATCATATCCATTATGTTATTTTATAACAATTATTTGTTATCATTGTTATGGTCATCATATTGTTCAACAATTAGATTCACCTATATTCAAACAGATTCAATTACCTGTTAATCAACAACAATTAAAATCGATCATTATATTTATAATCATTAAACTGGTTTGGGATTATCGTTTTATTGTTCGACATTTAATGAAAAGTTTTAATTCGGATTGGAATTTTAACATTGTTATTTGGTCAATATATTTATATGATACATCACAGATGATCAATTGGTATATATTATTCTATTATCAATGGATTACATATTTATCATTTCGAAAATTAATTTCAAAATTATCAACAACAACAACAACAAAACATCAACGAAAAACAAATAATAATAATTTTACGATTGAAAAACGTTTATTTTGTTCAATCAGAAATCTTTCTCAATCAAATCGTCAACTACAATATTATTGTTCATATTTATTAATTGCTATATTGATTGAACAGATAAATTCGATTATATATTCTCTTCTTTACATAATAATTGATCCATATAAAAGTGGTGTTATAATTCCGAGTGTTATTACACAAACATTACGTTCAACTATTTGTTTTTTATTGGTTCGAATTAATCGTAAAAATTTACAATTTTTCGACCGAATTTATCATTATTTTCGTTTGAAATTTATTGGTAACCATAATGATCAAAATAATCAAATTTCGATACGTTATTCAAAATTCAATCAATCAATAATTTATCGTAAATATTTTCAATTATCAATATTTCAATGGCTTAATATTGATTATTTATTTCTTATTCATATGTTTTCATTTTCATTGGGCTATATAATTATTATTTCACAGACAACCAATTAATTGATTGATTGATATCGAATCTTTTATTGTTTTTTTCGTTGTCAAGATTAATATCATGTTGTCAAGTTTTGTTTTTGGGTATACTAGAAACGAAAGACATTCTATCCAAATCATATGACAATGGTTTTTCATATTATATGATGATGAAATGATGATGGTCAACAAATGACAACATTTTTTTTCATTTATTCATGGTAAAATCCTTGTAAATTTTCAATTTTTTTAAAAAGAAAACGATTAACATTGATGATGGGTTCATTGTCAAAGTCTATCTATGAAAGAAATTGAATATTTGTCACCATTATCATCATCATCGTCTGGATACATAATTCTAGATGGCAATGGTATTGAATGATGTTCATGAAATACATAGTCCTTTGATACGGACATTTGTTAAATTTCATGGGTAAATCCTTGTTGATTTTTTGTGTGAAAAATTTTATTTAAAACTTTTCTCTCTGTTTATTTTGTCAACAATTTAGATTATTTGGTGTACAATTATCACCAATTTGTTGGTATGATTGGCATTCAATTCTACGATTATTGATCAATATTTTAATGAATATATTTGTTTTATATGGATTATATATTGAATCAAATGAAACAACTGAAAAATTTTATACCAAATCACATTTGTATGAACATTTTTGGCGTGCTAGTATTGTTGCTACATATCCAATTGGTTATTTTATAACAATCATTTGTTATATACGTTATGGTCATCATATTGTTAAACAATTAGATTCACCATCATTTCAACAGATTCATATTCCCGGTAATCAACAACAATTAAATACAATCATTATATTTATAATCATTGAATTTATTTGGAATAATCGTTATGTTGTTCAACATTTTTTGAAATTATTTCATTCTGATTCATCTTTTATAATTGTTGTTTTTGCCGTATTTTTTTACGATTCATCACAGCTTATAACATGGTATATTCTGTTCTATTATCAATGGATACAATATTTATCATTTCGAAAATTGATTTCAAAATTATCAACAACAACAACAAAACGACGAAAAACAAATAATAATTTTTCAATTGAACAACGTTTATTTCAATCAATCAAAAATCTTTCACAACCAAATCGTCAATTACAATATTATTGTTCATATTTATTGATCGGTGTACTAATTGAACAGACAAATTCTGTTATACATTTTCTTCTGTACGTTTTACTTGATCCATATAAAAGTGGTGTTGAATTAGCAAATGTTTTTGCACAAACAATACGTACAGCTTTATGTTTTTTATTGGTTCAAATTAATCGAAAAAATATACAATTTTTTGATCAAATTTATCAGCATTTTCGTTTGAAATTTATTGGTAATCATCATAATAATCATGATCAAATTTCAATACGTTATTCAAAATTTAATCAATTATTAATTTATCGTAAATATTTTCAATTATCAATATTTCAATGGCTTAATATTGATTATTTATTTCTTGTTCATATGTTTTCATTTTCATTGGGCTATATAATCATTATTTCACAAACAACCGATTAATTTGTTTCTTTTACGTATAAGTAAAAATAGTTATTATTATCACCTATCCGGTATCCTAAATATCTATTCATACAATGAATCGATCCGATATTAATCAATAAAATCTTTATTGATTTTTATTTTTTGAATGTGTTTTGTTGTTGTCAAGAATAAGATCGTTTTGTTTTTGTGGGTGCTGAAAACGAATGACATTCCTAATCAATCATATATGACAATAGGTTTTTGATATGATGATGAAATGTTGGTGATGGTAAACAAACATGTTCAAACATTTTTTTCTTATTCATTCATGGTAAAATCCTTGTTAATTTTCAATCAAAAAAGAAAATCGATCAACATTGAATATTTGTCATATTGGATGATACATGGCAATGGCATTGAATGATGAACATGAAATACATAGTCCTTATATTCGGTTATTTGTCAAATTTCATGGGTAAATTGATCCTTGTTGTTGATTTTTGTGTGTGTGATTTTCGGGCTCATTTTTTTCAACGATTTAGATTATTTGGTGTACGATTATCACCAATCTGTTGGTATGATTGGCATTCAATTCTTCGATTATCAATCAATATATTAATAAATTTAATTGTTGTTTATGGAATGTATATTGAATCAGATGAAACATTCGGTTCATATCAAACACGATCAAATCTTTATGGTTATTTTCGTCGTGCTAGTATTATTATATCATATCCATTATGTTATTTTTTTACAATTTTTTCATTTCATTGTTATGGTCATCATATTATTAAACAATTAGATTCACCTGTATTCAAACAGATTCAATTACCTGGTAATCAACAACAATTAAAAACAATTATTATATTTATAATCATTAAACTGATTTGGGATTATCGTTATATGGTTAATTCATTTTTAAAAGTTTTTTATTCAGATTTGAATGTTATGATTGTTATCTGTGGAATATATCTATATGATTCATCACAGCTAATAACATGGTATATTCTGTTTTATTATCAATGGACACAATATTTATCATTTCGAAAATTGATTGCAAAATTATCCACAACAACAACAAAACGACGAAAAACAAATAATAATTTTACAATTGAACAACGTTTATTTTGTTCAATCAGAAATCTTTCACGACCAAATCGTCAATTACAATATTATTGTTCATATTTATTAATAGCCATTATAATTGAACAGACAAATTTAATTATACATTTTTTTCTTTATATAATACTTGATCCATATAAAATTGGTATCGAATGGTCAGATATTATTGCACAAACATTACGTACATCATTTTGTTTTTTATTGGTTCAAATTAATCGTAAAAATATTCAACTTTTTGACCGAATTTATCAACATTTCCGTTTGAAATTTATTGGAAACCATAATGATCAAAATAATCAAATTCCGATACGTTATTCAAAATTCAATCAATTAATAATTTATCGTAAATATTTTCAATTATCAATATTTCAATGGCTTAATATTGATTATCTATTTCTTGTTCATTTAATTTCATTTTCATTGGGCTATATAATTATTATTTCACAGACAACCGAATGATATTCGGATCCAATCATAGAAAATGAATCAACAAAAACAAAATTCCAGAATTCATAATCCAATACTAAGAATATTTGTTCTTTTACATGGGTAAGTTGTGGAAAAACAAAATCTTTTTGAATCTCACAATAATTATCATTGCAAAAACAAAAAGAACATCTGGTTTACAATTATCACCGATTCGTTTTTGTTGGCCATCAATGTTTAGATTATTCATCAACATCATTTTAAATATTTTCATTTTCTATCTAATATTCGGTGATCAATCAATTTGGTTTGAAATACATTTAATAACAATCAAAATGAAAAAATTATATGAACAATATTTATTGGCAAATTATTATGCAATTTTTCCATTAATTTATTTTGGTTTTATCGGTGCATATCATTTATATGGTAATCGTATTATACGAATGCTTGATTCACCCGTATTCGATAATAATAATAACATTGATGATTGTCGACGAAATCGTTTGAAAATTATCGCAATGTTTATTGTAATTAAATTATTCTGGGATATAAGATATTTATTTGGTGATTTTTATCGAATTTTTCATTCAAATTGGTCACAAATTCGTTTAATTATGGCATCATATCTATTTGATTCATCATTTTTTATAAATTGGATTATACTTTATTATCATCAAATTTTATTATTTTTTACATTGAAAAAAATTCAACAAAAATTACCTCGAAAAATTTCAAAAATCAATAAAACAACAATAACAAATAGCATTTCATTGGAACAAAGACTATTTCGATCCATATTGATATTATCAAACGCAAATCGTCATTTACAATATTATTATTCATCAATATTATTATTAGTATTAATCGATCAAATTAATCAAATTATTGGTTTTTTATCATATTGGTTATTACATCAAACAAATTTACAATTTATAAATTTGAGTACAATTATTTCACAATTGAATCATTTATTAATATTTATATTATTAATATTAATTAATCAAAAAAATATTCATCAATTTGATAATATTGATTATTATTTTCGTTTGAAACAATTTCGTTATCATTATCGTTATCAGAATAATAATAATAATTTGTTAATGATCAAAATGAATACAGAATGTTACTCGAAATATAATCATTTAAATATTTATCGTCAATATTATCAATTATCAATATTTACATGGTTAAATATTGATCTATTATTATTAATGAATTTATTATTTTTTTCATTTGGTTATGTATTGATTATATCACAAACAACGACAATCGATTAATCGATTGATTGATCGATGGTAGTCGTTCATCATCATCATAAAAACAACAAACAAATTAATAAATCGAGTGATTTCGTTTTTCCGGATCGCAACATTATTGAATATTTAGTGTTTTTAAAACAATTCGGTGAAAGTAAAATAGATAAAATGTTATTGAAATAATGAAAATTCATAATCCATATCTACGTATATTTATTCGTTTACATGGGTATGTTTGTTTTTTCAGAATCATTTTTAAAAAAAACTATTTTTCTAAATTCTCAATTTGGAAATATTAGAACAACCGGTACACAGTTATCATCAATTGATTGGAATGATTGGCATTCAATCCTTAAATTAATGATAAACATTTCATTAAATATTATTACTTATTGGGGAATATTTATTGATTCACCAGTTGCTGATAGATTATTAACCGATTTGGAAATAAATAAATTGTTTGGATATTTTCAAAAAGCTAATTTCTATGCATTTTATCCATTACTTTATGTCGGTCAAATCGTAATTTTTTTGATTTATGGACATCATATTATTGCCCGGCTTGATTCGAATGCATTCATTAAAGTTTACGATTGTAAACGAAATCGTTTGAAAGCTATATTCATATTTTTATTAGCATTTATTTTTTGGCAACAAAGATTCATCATCCGTGAATATCGTCATCTATCTAAACCATCATTTTTAATTGAATATCGAACAATAGAATTATTGGTTGGAATATATTTCTATCATGCTACACAAATGACTAATTGGTATCTACTTTTTTATCATCAATTGATTACTCTTTTCACTCTCAAACAAATTGTCAAAAAATTATGGTCAAATAAATCGATGTTTCGACGGCCGGGTAAAGGAATGACAAATAGTTTTTCAATTGAACAACGATTATATCGTTCAATAATATTGTTATCCGAACAAAGTCATTATCTTCAATATTATTTTTCTTATGTAATTTTATACCTACTAATTGAAACGTCCGATTCTATTATTGGTAGTTTATCTTTTGTTATGATGGAATCATTTGGTACCGGTATCGGTTGGATGTCAATATATGAACAAAGTATTCGTTGGTTTTTATTATTAACATTAATAGAATTGAATCGTCAAAATGTTCAACTTTTCGATCATATTGATCATCATTTTATACGGAAATTTACCACCATACAAATGTTGATGAAAATTGATTATATCCGCCATGTTAATAATAATAATGATGATCGAATAGTACGCTATACTAAATATAATCAACTAAAAATTTATCGACAATATTATTCATTATCATTATTTAATTGGTTAAATGTTGACTATTCATTATTGATTAATATATTTTTCTTTTCATTTGGTTATGTATTGTTAATTTCACAAACAACGAAAATCAATTAATCGATTGTTTCGTCCATTACAACAAATTAATTCGAATGAGTATTATTGCGATGAGATGAATTGTTTTTCCGGATCGCACAAAAATATCTAATATTATTGAATATTTTGTTTTAAACAATTGGTGAAAATAAATAATGAAAATTCATAATCCATATCTTCGTATATTTATTCGTTTACATGGGTATGTTTGTTTTTTATCATTTTTTTAAAATTATTTTTTTTTTAATTCTCAATTCGAAAATATTAGAACAACCGGCACACAGTTATCACCAATACTTTGGAATGATTGGCATTCAATCATCAAATTTATGATCAACATTTCATTGAATATTATTACTTATTTTGGAATATTTATCAATTCACCGGTTGCTGATCAATTACTGACAGAAACTGAAGCAAATAGCCTGTTCAGATATTTTCAAAAAGCCAATTTCTATGCATTTTATCCATTAATTTATGCCGGTTCAATTGTTAGTTATTTGATATATGGTCATCATATTATTGCCGCACTTGATTCAAGTGCATTCATCAAAGTTTACAATTATAAACGAAATCGTTATAAAGCTATATTTATATTTTTGTTCATTTTTCTTTTCTGGCAACAAAGATTCATCCTTCGTGAATATCGTCATCTATCTAAGTCATCATTTATAATTCGATTTCGAACAATAGAATTAATGGTCGGAATATATATCTATCATGCTACGCAAATGACTAATTGGTATTTACTTTTTTACTATCAACTGGTTACCTTTTTCACTCTCAAACAAATTGTCAGAAAATTATGGTCGAATAAATCGATGTTTCGACGGCCCGGTAAAGGAATGACAAATAGTTTTTCAATTGATCAACGATTATTTCGCTCAATAATTTTGTTATCCGAACAAAGTCGTCATCTGCAATATTATTTTTCTTACATAATGTTATTCCTTTTAATTGATTTATCCGATTCTATTATTGGTAATTTATCTTTTGTTATGATGGAATCATTTGGTACCGGTATCGGTTGGTTGTCATTATATGAACAAAGTACTCGTTGGTTATTATTATTAGCATTGATCGAATTGAATCGTCAAAATGTTCAACTTTTCAATCATATTGATCATCATTTTATACGGAAATTTACCGCCATACAAATCATGATGAAAATCAATCGTCACCATAATGATGATAATGAAGTAGCACGTTATACAAAATATAATCAACTAAAAATATATCGACAATATTATTCATTATCATTATTCAATTGGTTAAATGTTGACTATTCATTATTGATTAGTATATTTTTCTTTTCATTTGGTTATGTAATGTTAATTTCACAAACAACAAAAATCAATTGATCGATTGTTTCGTTCATCATCTTAACAAATTGAATTGAATGAATATTGATGAGAAAATGTGTTTTTCTCAAAACAAGAAAGAAAATTTATTAAACATAACATTATTTAATATTGGCGTCAAACAATCATTAAAAGATATAATTGAAATGATGAAAATTTATAATCCATATCTACGTATATTTATTCGTTTATATGGGTATGTTTGTTTTTTAAAATCATTTATCTGATTGATTGAATCATTCTTTTTCTCAATTCCTAAATAGAACAATCGGTTTACAGTTATCACCAATATGTTGGAATGATTGGCGTTCGATCATTACATTGATGATAAACATTTCATTGAATATTATTACTTATTGGGGAATATTTATTGATTCACCGGTTGCTGATCAATTCGAATCGAAAACAGAATCAAATAACCTATTTAGATATTTTCAAAAAGCCAATTTCTATGCATTTTATCCATTACTTTATGCCGGTTCAATCATCAGTTATTTGATCTATGGACATCGTATTATTGCCTCACTTGATTCGAATGCATTCATCAAAGTTTATAATTATAAACGAAATCGTTTGAAAGCCATATTTATATTTGTGTTCGTATTAATTTTCTGGTATCAAAGATTCATTATTCGTGAATATCGTTATCTATCTATGCCATCATTTTTAGTTAGATTTCGATCATTAAAATTATTGACCGGAATGTTTATATATCATGCTTCACAATTGATCAATTGGTATCTACTTTTTTACTATCAACTCAATACATTTTTTACACTCAAACAAATTGTCAAGAAATTTCGACCCGATAAAGGAATGACAAATAGTTTTTCAATTGAACAACGATTATATCATTCAATAATTTTGTTATCCGAACAAATTCGTTATCTTCAATATTATTTTTCTCATATAATTTTATTCATTTTAATTGAATTATCGGATTCTATTATCGGTGGTTTATGTTTTGTAATGATGGAATCATTTGGTACCGGTATTGGTTGGATGTCTTTATATGAACAAAGTATTCGTTATGGTTTATTTTTAGCATTGATCGAATTGAATCGTCAAAATCTTAAACTTTTCAATTATATTGATCATCATTTTATACGAAAATTTACCACCATACAAATGTTGCTGAAAATTAATGGTCGCCATAATGATGATAATGGAATAGCACGTTATACAAAATATAATCAACTAAAAATCTATCGACAATATTATTCATTATCATTATTTAATTGGTTAAATGTTGATATTACATTATTGATTAATATATTTTTCTTTTCATTTGGTTATGTATTGATTATTTCGCAAACAGCCAATTGATTTTTTTTTGTTGTTGTATTTTGTAAATAATTGATCGATTTACTTTCCTATTTATTTGACTCTCTGTAATGACAAAATGTTGATTAATTAATTAATTTGAATAAAATGACAATTTTTTTTTGAATAATAAATGAAAATTCTCTATTGATTGTCGACGCCATTCGCAACATTAACATTCAAAAAACCAAAAAAAAAAGATGAACCAAATACATAGCCCTTATCTACGTGTGTTTGTCCTATTACATGGGTAAGTAATATATTAAAATCTGGATAAAATTTGAAAATTTAAAAGTATAATTTTTTTCCAGTGCATTTGGATTACAATTATTACCAATAACATTTACAAATCAACGTTCATCAATCTATTTGATTATAAATTTATTATTAAATACAATAACATTATATTGTATTTATTATGATTCGATTGTTGCCGATAGTATTGTACAACATCAATCACATAAATTATATCATCATTTTTTACGTTTAAATTTTCATCTTATCTATCCAATTATATATTTTTGTTTTATATTCAATTATCTTCTATACGGTTATCGTATTATTTTATTATTAGATTCACCTGTATTTATTCACCGATCATTAATGTTTGATTGTCGTCGTAATCGTTTAAAAGCATTAACGATTTATTTAGCTGTAAAATTATTCTGGGATCATTGGTCATTCGTTAATAATTATCATTGGATTATTATTCTTATTTATAAATTTAATTGGCGTCAATTTAAATTATTATTTGGTTTATATTTTTATCATATTTATATTATTACAACATGGTTTCTATTATATTATCATCAAATTGTTTTGTATTTAACATTACAAAGAATTCAACAAAAATTATCCGCCAAATCCGTTATAAAAAATAATAATTATAATAATTTTTCATTTGAAAAACGTTTATATCGTTCAATTCGTAATGTTTCACTAAAAAATCAACAAATTCAATCAAAATTTTCATTAATATTGGCTGTTATATTTTTAGAACATAGTATTGTAACGATAACAAGTTTATGTTATCTATTTCTTGATCAAATGGGTAATGAAATGAATCGTCCATTATCCATTTATTCACATTCATTACGGTTTTTAATTTATTTTGGTTTAATTGAAATTAATCGTCAAAATATTCAATTATTTGATCAAATTGAACGTTATTTTAATTGTAAAATATTCAATAATAATGAAGGGAAAAAAATTTCATCAAGATTTTCACAATTTTCACAATTAAAATTATATCGACAATATTATCCATTATCAATATTTCATTTTATGAATATTGATGCTATAACAGCATTAGAATTATTTTTTATTTCATTAAGTTTTGTTTTAATTATTTCATTAGCATAAACATCATTTGATTTTATTTATAAAATTTGTTTAATAATTTGATCAAAATCTTTGGAAAATAACTTCTGTTTCAATATGGTCATTTTTTCTAAATGAAAAAAGAAAACAAAAATATGTTAATTATAAGCATATTAAAGTAAATAATTTTTTTACAAAAAAAAAACATACTTAAATCTTTATAATAATTACAACGTAATGGATCAATGGAAATTAATCTATCCAACCGGTTGTTATTGTTGTTAGCGTTTAAATTTGTTTCAAAATTATCCGTATCCAATGCAATGGTCAACATATAATTTGGCCCTATTTAATGAGAAGGGGAAAAATCATGATATTAGAAAAATTGGATATTTCCGTATGTTGTAAATATATTACATTTAGAATCGGATTCAATTTCCAATAAAACATTAAGATCATCAATTCTTTTACGAATTAAATTCGTACGTATATTTTGTCGTTGACCATAATCATTATCAACGAAAATTCGATTATAAACACAGCAATCATTGATATTTTCAACATTAAATTCATGTTTCAATATTGTTGTTTGATTTTTGGAAAATTCAAATCGAATTGAATCAGATGATGATGTATTTGGCTGATCAACATATCGAACAATCCATATTTTTCCATTAAATTTTGGATGAAATGAATTCAGATCAATTTTTTGCTGATTAATTCGGATTTCGAATGGAAATCGATCCAATGATCGATTGAATTCGATTGCTAATAGATGATGATTTTGTGACCAAACAAATCGTTCAATTTGTGGATAACATTTTGGTGATATTTCTTTTTCATCACCAAACGATAACAGTTCTTGTTCAAAATCAATCAACCAACGAAAATAAAGCCAAGGTGATTGATCATTTGGATCGGTAAATATGGCATTTTTAACTGTTTCAAAATCTTTATCAATCATTGATTGTAATTCTTTATGATCATAATTTTCGGCTAATAATTGTCGAAATAAACTACTACGATAATGCCATGAACTAAAATTTGAAAAATTATCCAGAATTTTTTTCGATGTAAATCTAAATTCATCCATTGTTGGTATTTTTCCAAATTGAACAATAAAACGACGATAATCCCAACAATGAACTAAAATATGGAAAGTTTTTTGTTAAAGAATTTCATCATTCATTCTTCCATTCACTTACAATTTCGTTCATCTAACGAAAGACATTTATTGCAAAGTTCAAGCTCCCGGTTGAAATTCGGATTACGCATCTGTTTTATCAACCAGATACGATGATGCCATGTTGCATAGGATTTTGGACTAGATTGTAAACAATTTTCCGTAAACATCAATTCTTTTTCACATAATTGATCAAATTTTTTCCATAATTCTTCTGTCGGTTGTTTTTCCGGATCATCTCCATCGGATGATTGTTCATTAGTTTCCAATGATTGTTTGAAATTTAAAAGAATTTCTCGACGATAATTAAATAATGTACCGAATTCAGGATTAATTTGTAATAATCGTGCCAATGATTCCAATGAATCAAGATCTTTACAAGTTGATTTCTTCAATCATTAATCATAGAAATTACAATCAAGAGAATGAAATCAATCAAGAAAAAAACTATCAAACCTTGATCAAATGATTTGTCAATTCGGAATGAAATTTTTGTGCTTTCAATAATTTTGCCTTTTCTTTCGTTTCATCTTTAACCGTAACTTTTTTTCGGGAATGCTATACAGATGTGGAATGATCGATTTAAAGAAAAAATTCTTTGAAATCTTTAATTTTCTTACCATTTTTTGTTGATAAAAAGAAATTAAATCTTTAAATTGAAAAAAATTTTATTCATTTCAAGACAGCTGTTGATTTATTCAGCCTTCTCTCTGTGTGTACGTTCGTTCATATAGAACGTAACCACCGATGATGCAATTTGATTGGCCAACGGAAATCGAACGTTTTGTTGTTGTTATTGTTGTTGTTTGATGTTTTCTATTTCGATTTCAAATTTTCAATTAAAATAAAATTTAAATTAAAAATTTCCCGATGGATTTCGAAACCAGTGATGATAATGAACATGAAATACCTTATCGTTATCAAACAATGCATTTTTCAAAATTTAATTTGAATAATAATATGGCTCAAGCTGTTTTATCAGCAACTACGGCAGCCAAAAAAATGGCTAACAATGTTGTTGTACCTGAATCAAATTCCGAAACTGTTCAAAATCCTAAACCATCTGTAAATTATCGTTTAATTCATCATTTATATGTACATTATAAGTCATCAGCCGATAAAATTCAATCATGTCAATCATTTTGGTCGGTCATTGCTCATGATTATAATCTTGTTCTATCAACCAATTATTCGGCCACTGAAATTGAAAGTTTTTGGAATCGTATGCCGGCAATGGACAAACGTAAAATCGATCTTCAACATTATGACAATTGTAATGATTTAAATGTTGAAAATAATCAACCATCGGATGTATCGAAACGTAAGAAAAAATCAAAAAAATCATCAACAAATAATAATGATGGTAATAAAAAATTGAAAACTTCAACCAATCAAGTTCAACCGATAAAAGTAGATAAATCCTGTCAGGTTGATATGTCATCTATACAAGATAATTCTTTGATTGATTTGGCTAAAGAAGCATATCGATTAAAAATTGAAATATTAAAAATACGTTTAGAATATTTGCAACAACAATTTCAACGAATTTTTCCCTTGGTATAATTCATGCTAAACATTCAATGTTGATCAATCTCTCTCTCATTTTCAATTTTTTTAAATTTCCAAAACAAAAATGAATAATCTTATGTAATCGTTTCTTATCAAATCATTAATAACCTTGTTAATCTTAATAATCCATAAATGAATAATTAACTACGAAGAAATAAAATGGATCCATAAATGGATCATCATTCATCGATTGATTTTTAATCCAATTTTTTATTTATTATTTTTAAATCAAGGAAATTTGCTTGCTGTGTGTGTGTGTGTGTGTGTAGGTGACACAGTGTTAATTTAATTATCATTACAAGTACGTAAAATTAATGGAATTTCCGAATCTTTTCGACAAATTTTTTTCGAATCATCCCAATGATAATCATCTGGACATGCTTCTTCAACTGGTTCATCATCAACATTACTATTACGACAATCCCAATATTTTCTACAATGTTCGGTGTTTCGAAACAAACCACGTCCTTCACAACGATAACGTAATGGTTGATTTTGACATTGAAATGCTGAACGTAATACACAATCATTTTGTTTAGAACTAAATACTTGACCATTTGGACAACATGAATAACATGGTTGTTGACGATAATTACAATCATAATAACAATCACAATTTTCTGGATCAGCAATTTTTTGTCCCGGTTCAAATAATTGATTACGACATATATATTGATCACGATTTGCTTCTATTTTGGATCAGAATTGATGAATTTTTTGTTAAAGAATTTCGAAAGAAAGTTTCTTGCAAACTTACCTCGTTTAGTATTTTTTTGCCAACATTTTGATTCAAATAGATTTGGTAACAAAATTACCATCATCATCAAAATGATTAACATCATCGATGTTTGCTGAATCATTTTGTTTTGTTCGTTTTTAAACTGTGAATGTCAAAACCTGAAAGAAGTGACCGACGAGACTGACCATAGTTGGAAAATACCTAAGCCATTTTTATACCAAATTTTCATTTCGAAAAGTGGAAAAAAAAAGATTCCGGTTTAATCAAACAAAAAAACCTGAATATTTTTTTTGAAATTCAAAGGTCAAAGTTCTTTGATCATTTTATTTCGATGATTTTTTTCAATTTAAATTCCAGATAAGATGTTGAACGATAAATCACCAATCTTGGCCATCCTGACCATTTCATTTCGGCTATTTTTCTACTTTGAATTTTTTTTCTGTTAAAATCAACTTTTTTCAAATTTTTTTCTGGTTGTGTGTGGGCGACCGACAGGAAAAAAAAAATACTCCAAGGAAATCAAGTTGGTAGAAATCGAAATCGAAATGTTTGCTTTGTCGTGATCTTGAACCCACACACACGAATTTTGTTTTTGTTTTTTGTTTTTCGTAAAACAAACATCAGCAAAAAAACATCATTACGCCAATATGACGCCTGATCGTTGGCGTTGATTCAAGTTTTTTTTTGTTTCTTCATTCATTGAATTTATTATCAATGAAGACAGAATGGTGTTATTTAAATTTAAAAATAAACAAAAACAACAGCAGCAAAATGAATGAATTGAACGTAACCAAAATGGGCAACTTGACGTTCAATGTTGACGAAATGAAAGAACGAAAGGAAAGAAAAAACTATGAAAGAGAAAGTAGTTTTCTTTTGCATAGAATATCGTTGATGGATACCATCAATGTTCAATTTGAATTCAATCAATTTTCTTTGGCTTTCAAAAAAGGATTGTTGTCGGTGAATGTTTTCAATTCAATCAATCATCATCAACATTGTCTTTTTGAATTAATTTGAACAAAAATTTTAGTGAGGGTGGTGTTTTCTCTTGATCTTCGTCTATTTTCACATACCATCATTATTTCGAAAGACATCCATTCTTTTTGGTGTGAAGAAGATCTCAGTGTTTTTGTTGTTTTTGTTGTTGTTGTTCAATTCAATTGCAGTTCTATTTTTACGTTTAACCCTGATCTGTTTTTCCGTTGGTTGGTTGGTTGATTGGCATAGTTTTGTTTTGCTCAGTGTAATTCTTTCAAGTTTTCATTTTTGTTTTTCTTAAATTTTTCTAAATTTTCACATTCAAATTTCAAATGTAAGTTATGATTCTTGTCTGTGGTTGGTTTATTAGTGTTTTTTCATCATTTTTTTGCATAACCATTGTTTTTTTCCCTCGTAGAAAGATTATCCATAACAACAGAAATCATGACTTGTTTGGATCCAACCGGTAGACGGCCATCAAAATTTCGTTGTTTAAAAGCATTTTTCCTAACTATTTTCGGCATTACTGGTACACAATTATTCCCGCTAATATTTCATTTCATACGTTTGGTTTCATATTTTCTAATGGATCGACAAACATTTCTACCGAAACCATTACCAAAAGGAAATTCATTGTTTGGTTTGGAAATTTTTCAACATGATTTAAATTTTAATGGTAAGAAGTTACCTGTACAGTTGATAAACTCTTCTTGTTAAAATTAACCCTTTTTACCCTGAAAAATAGATAATTCATCATCAGTTTATACGGTACAAGTTATCGTTGCTGCTATCGCATCTATTTTAATTGGTCTGACCGGATTTATGGCCATTTGTCGTGAAAAATTAACAACAATGAAAATTTATTCATTTATAATGTTATTAATAACATTTGTTACCGGGTTTGGTTCATTTTGTTTACCAAATTTAGTACATTGGACAAATATTATTCTGCCATTATTAGGTGGTAGTGTATCATCATTATTAAGTTTTGTATTTACATTACTTACACAACAACAATTGGACCAAGAAAATCCATCATCTTATCATAATTATTATCCATATAATAATCAATATAATTAAATAATCAATAAAAAAAACTTCTGTAATTTCAATACAAATTTTTTCATTTATTTTCAAATAAAAATTTATGAACCCGGTGGCGCCATCTTTTGATGACAATGAATGAATGAAAATATTTTATTTTTTTGATTTTTTGATTTTTTTTTATTTTTCTGAAAAAATTCAATAAAGATCACAAAGTATTTTGAATATAAAAAAAACATAAAAATGATAACCAAGCACACACAAACAAACACACAGAATTCATATTCAATTAACCAATGAGAAGAATGAAAGGTGTGAAGAAGAAGAAGAAGAAATCAGCATTATCTGATTCTGATCAGATCAAAAAGAAAAAATCGATGAACGAATGAAAAAATGATTGATTTTTTTGTAGTTTTTTTCTGGTTATTTCTGGTTGTTGCTGTGTATGTGAAACAAAGGACAAAACATTCAGGACATTTTGTTTATGGCGGTATACTATCCAAAATATCAATCAATGGTGGTAATATTGAATAAGTTTTTGTCATTTCATTTGAAATTAATTTTTTCAATTTATTCATTTCTTTTTTTTGTAATAATTTTGAACATGAATCATGTGATTTTGGATAATTTTGACAAATACTTGATACTACTTGTCCAGTATAACCTTCAATTAGATTTTCAATCATTTGTGCATCTTCACTACTACATGATTGTGGTGTTTCAATTGCCTGTTGTACTAAACATTCTTCCAATTGATAATAAACACTTTTGGAATTTCCGATGAAAAGACAATAGGAGAAAAACAACACGTGTTAAAATCAATAAAACAATAAAAACAAAGAAACATACCAACAAGTTTTACCAACACGACCAGATATGGGCATATGTTTAATAATTAAAAAATCCTGTATTGAACGTGAAAAACATTTTGAACCTTTACGTTTAATTGTATTTAAACAATGTGCTGCATGTATCATTTCTTTTCTCAATCTTGTTTTACTACAAAATTGACGATTTTTACGTATTATACCGAACATTAGCAAACTTGTTACTTGACGTGGAAATTTTGCCAAACATCTTCGGGCATATTCTTTAACATATAATTCTTTTTGATTTGTTTGGCTTTGTTTGAATGAAAAAGATGGAAAAAAATTAATTCGACCCATAAAGGTAGAAATAGGCTAATTTTGTTTCGGGGGGGGGAAGAATACTTACTTGCAAAATTGTTCAAATGCATCAGCATTATCCGGTGCAATACGATCAGGATCATCGAAAAAATATAACCATCGAACAATTTGATCAGCATGTGTTTTATTACATTTACTTATGGGTAGATCAAAATTTTGTAATGGTAAATGATGATTTTTTGGTATAGCCATTACTTGTAATGATGTTATTATTATTATTATCACCGTTATTATCATTGTCATTGATAATGACATTAATTTATAATCACCTTTTTATTAATGAGAAATTTTTTTTGTAATTTAAAAATTTTGAATTTTACAAAAGAAAATCAGAGAAATCAGAGAGAAAAACACACATACCAAACATTGTTGATTTGAATCGATAAACATTCGTATTACATAACGATGTCGATGTAGATCGTCGTTGATTATAATGTTTAAAATTAATCATAGTTTTTTTCTTTGTCGTTTGTTATGTAATTTACAAAAAAAAAATTACAACAAAAAATTACAACAAAATCAAAACACGGAACAGAAAAAGAAACACGAAGGAAATTCAAAGAAGAAGAAGAAGATTCAGATTCTGAACAACCAGATATAATCAGATTTTATCACAAAAAATGAAAAAAAGTTAAATGAAAAAATTTATCTATCCATCCATTCCATCACCAAGATTAAAAATAATTAATTTTTCTGTTCTTCTTCTAAAAAATCCAAAAAACAAACGTTATTTTTATCGTTTCAAAATGATTGGCTGCCTGATTTTTCTTCGTTTGGATTGATTGCACACTTTACACACTTTACGCACATCCATCCATCCATCTATCATCATCACAAGTCGTCGTTGTTGTTGTGGAATTCTTTCAGTACATTTTTTTTTTTGATTGAATCTAGAGGCAGTGGCAATCGATCGTATCGATATTTGGATGGACAACAACAACAACAACAACAACAACAACCAAATGATGATAACGATAATAAATGATGGCCATCATTATCATTCGCTGTGTTATTGGAGAAAAAACGCACTTTCGTTGCTTGCTTGCCTGTTCGCTTGACTTTCGACAAACGTAAATAAAAATAAAATATCGCAATATCCAAAGATGAAATATATATCATCTTTTTGTGTGTGATGTTTCAAACTGATTGCAATTTTTATTTGAATTTTTATTGGGAGAAAAAATCTTGAATTTAAAAAAACAAAATTTCATCGTTTTTTCTCTGCAAATAACTAATGTATACTAATTGACCATGTCATTGCGCAAATGAATCTTTTCTGAGATTTCTTTTTGGAAAATTTCTTTACTGCTGAAAAGATTTTTCTTAAAATGAATTTTTCCAGGGAAAATTCTTGATGGTAAAGAATCTGAATTCAAAAAGAAAAATCATTGCAGAAGAAAAATGTATTTAGCATCGGTGCAGCTAAAAATAGAAATTTTTTTTCTAATCAAGATTCTACGAAAGAAACAAATCAAGCAACAGGTTTTCTTGGAATGAATTATGTCGTCATCTTTCTGGTCATCATCATTAGCATTATCAGTTGATTTTCAACCCCTTTCATCTCTGATTAGCTAGAATTTTTCCATTTTTTTTTCTCAAAAAAAAAAAATTAATAAATAATTCAACAACCAACCAATCAACAACTGCAATTGACGTCAACAAACGATAATGATTTTGAATTTTTAAAAAAAAAATCAAGATATCGATGATTGAATTCAAACAACATTGTAAATCAATCTATAAAGGAATTGCGTGGGAAAAAAACCTTGCTTTCAAATGAAATGATAATTCAACAGAATGACAAGAAAGTTCTACAAGTTTGTCGAATGTCATTGTCATCTGATTATTGTTTTTCTCTCCGTTAAAGATATTTTGTTTCATTTTTTACCATTATCACCACCATTATCATTATGATTGTAACAAAATAAAGAGAGAGAAACAAAAAAAAGTAAAAGTTTGAAAGAGAAAACACGCGTTTGCTTATGATATTTATGCATTTGGAACAACAAAATAACATTGTCGTTGTTTATCGGGGTATTTTCTGTGCACAAAAATTGGCCAATTTATTTTATTTAATTTTTTAGTTTGAAAAAAAAATGTTTACAAATTATCAAAGCACCCAGGTATAATTATTTATTCAGTTTTTTAAATTTGACCTAATAATGTTAGTTTAGTTTAGTTTAGTTGTTTTTGACTTAAAAAAAAAATTAAAATCTACGGATTTGGTTAAAGGTGACCGATTTGTTTTTGTTTTTTTTTGCATTTTATTCAATTACGGCAATACATTCCAATTCGATACGTGCATTTTTCGGTAATGATGCAACACCGATTGTTGAACGTGCTGGAAATGGTGATTGAAAAAATTCTTTCATAACATCATTTATGATAGGGAAATCATTAAAATCCCGTATAAAAATTGTTAATTTTACAATATCCGACATTCGTGCACCACCCGATTCAACAACAGCTTTCATATTATTAAATGTTTGTCGTGCTTCAGCTTGAATTGATTCGGTTAATAATTCACCTGTTCGTACATTCATACCTAATTGTCCGGATAGATAAATTTGATTACCAACTTGTACTGCCTGGGAATATGGGCCAATCGGTATTGGTGCTAATGGTGTTGACAAAATACGTCTTGGACTCATTTTTTCGTTGATTAAAATTTGAAAATTTCGTCTAATTTGATAGAAATTTGATGATTTTTGAATGAAATTTCGTAAGAAACTGATGTTCATTGAAACGCTAATGAGAAATGGAAATAAAAAATCAAAATTTTTTTTTTGTAATCAATATTCGAATCATCAACCAAATTATCGTACTTTTTTCCAGATTTTTTTAAATTATCAATATCAGTTCATTTTCTAGCAGAAAAGCAAAAACAGACTGATATCACAATATTATTACCAGTGTCTCGAATGATTTTTTTTCCAATTTCTAATTTCATTTTTTAAAGTTCAATATCGCTATATAATCAACGACGAAAGAAAATCTAATCCAAATAGAAATTCAATACATTCGATTTGATTTTTGATTTTTTTGATTTTTGAATGTTTAATGTTCAATGATGTTAGTTTAACCATGAAAACAAAAATTGATGGAAAAAGAGAATGATGATGATGATATAACCATATCATCATCATCATCATTATCAAATGGTAATGATTATGATTTGAAAAAAGGAAAAATTTTCATTTTGTTACTAAAAATAAATGAATTTTTGTTATTGAATAATTGATGACGATCATTCAGAAAATTTTGTTGAAGAGAATTGGCTATTTGTTAACATTGAAATTATTATAATTTGATTGATTCGATTGATCGAAACCTTCAGTTGTCAGTTTTGTTTTCGTATTTTGTTTTTTTATTATTCAATTTCATTGCCCACAAATATCATCACATGATGATGTAATAATTTTTTTTTTGATTTTTGATTTTTGAATAATTTAGTTATTTTTTTTACTAATAAATAAATTTGAAAAAAATTTAGTTAATATTAACCAAATAAAATCTTTTTGTCTGCGTGTGTGTATGTGAGTTGCAAATAACCAAACTATATTCAATATAATATATGGTTATTTTAGTGGAAAAAAATGAAAAAAACAAAAGCAGTGAATAGTAATTTATTGTGTAAAAATGTTGAAATTGAAAATTGAAAAAATGTTGTTTGGGAAAATTTTCCCCAGTCTAATTCTAGTGCGTTCCGGGATTGTCATTTTCAAAATGGTGGTCAGCAGTTTTTTTCAAAGGTTAAAATTGACTATTTTTTTTTTTAAATTTATTTACGACGATAATAATCACCATAACCAGGATCCATCATCATACCATGATAGTTACCATATTGATGTTCATAATTTTGATGACTTTGTCCATAATGATGATTATTATTATGGCCATAACTTTGATGTCCATAATCATTACCATGGCTGCTACCACCACCACCACCACCATAACCATGGCCATAACCATAACCAGTATGATATTCATGAATAATTGATGGATATTCATGATAAACAGGATAGGCAATATATTCTTTTTTCTCTTTATGATGACATTCAGGATTCATGATAACACTTTGTGCACACAAGAACACATAAAATATATCAATTATAAGGACATGAAGAAGGATTTTCTTCTAATAACTTACGTATCACTATTTTTTCCTTTTTTGTCACCAGATTTAATAATTGTTGGTTGACATTTATCGCCAATCATAACACTTTGTTTGGATGGTGGGAAAAAAGCAATGGATTAAATTCAGTTAAATTTAGTTTAATCGAAAATCAATGAAAACAAAACTTACATGTCACTATGTTTTTTACCATTACTTTTCACTATAAGATTACCATTTACTGTAACAAAAATAATAGCCATTATCATAATGGTCAAACAAATGGTAACAGTTGATTTTTGCATCATTTTGGTTTGATTTGGTTCGGTCGTGACAATAACAAAAGAAAATTTTTTCAAGTTTTCAAAATTTCAACAAGACATTCAACTTGTTTAATCTTTGAGATTTCTTTTTTACCAGCAATTTATACCAACATTTTATAGCTGTAACCCGAAGCAATTTTTCGTCGAATTTCGGCTCTTTATTTTGTTCCAAACAACAAAAACAAATTAGCGTTTAGTCCGTTCATCAAACAATCAAAGGTTAAAACACTTATTTCAACCAAAAAAAAAAAACAGAAAACCGAAAAAGAATAAGGTGAAAATATGGAAAATCATTATTAATTAATGGATGAAAATTATGGCTCTTTATCTCTTTTGGCTCCTTGACATTCAGTCAAGTAAAATTAGTCAAAAAACTCAAATTTTTTTCTGGAAAATTTCACACCACCAACACCATTATCGTCAAAATGATTTGAAACAAAAGATATGGACCAGGAAATTTTTCTGTTTCATTCATTCATTCATTTTATCCATGAGATAATCCACATATATTATAATCCATGAAAATAAAAGTTCCTGGTTTCTGATTGACCTACGATGAATGAATGACCATTTTTCTTGGGATAATTAATTTGGATCAAAGCGATTTTTACTCGATGATAAAGATCTTTTAGATCAATGTGCCGTCGACACAGGCAAGGTCAAGGCATCGGTTTTATTGACACATGAAAACAAAAACTACAGTATAGGTAGTTATAAAGGTAGTTATTTTATTTTATTTTTTATAACAAATTTTTACCGTAAAAAATACAAAAAATACGAAACAAAAGATCAATTAAATAGATAAAATGCAGTATAATTATAGTTGAAAAATTTTCACTTTTTTGTTCATTATCATTATCGCAATTTTTTTATTTATAAATGAGAAAAACTATTAAAACTAACTGACTTACTGATTGACTGACTGGGTGATAATATAATATAATATTGACTGGAAAGATAATTATAAATTATTATTATTTTGGCCTTTTTTTCTTGGCTAATTGTAAAGTAATTTGAAAAAATTATTAATTTTTTGAAAAAATTTATAAAATTTAAATTTGAATTAGCTATCGCCATCTTGTGGCTAAGAAAATGAACAATTTTAGGAAATTTTTTTCTCCGTTGATAATTCATTAAAAGATTCGTTAATATTATTGTTGTTGGATACTTTTGTTCGTTGATCATTTTTGTTGATTTTGTTTTTAAAAAGATAGGTTCGTATAAAGAAATCCAAAAACATCAGGAAAAATAATGTATACAAAGAGAATCCGGTAATAGCAACAGCTAGGCTAACATCACATGGTTGACCGAATATTTTTCGTCGTAAACAATCCAAATGAATATAAAAACCAAATAACATTTGTATGATTTGCATTGATGTTAATGTTATATTAACTGGTCGTGGCAGACGATAACCCATTGATGTTAATGCATAATATGAATACATTAATGTATGTACAATCAAATTCATATTAACCATCCACCGTGCTGTTGATGGTACATCACCAAAAACAAACCATGAATAAATTAATGTTAATGTATGATGTATCCAATGTAATTTTCTTAATGGACGTTTACGTAATACAATAAATATGGTATCAATTAATTCAGGTACTTTGGATAAGGTAAAAAATAAATACCAAATACAAAGACGAATATCCTGTTATACAGGGGGGGGAAACAAAACAGAATGAAAAATCAATCAATCGATTTGATTAATCCAATTTACCTTTCCATAGGTATTTTGTGTATATGAATAAATGAAACCATAATTTTTTAAAACAAAAATAAATTCAGGTAAACAACGAATGCTTGCAATCAATGAAAATATTGTCATTATTAAATTCCATATGATTAATTGATGTTTTAATTGAAAACCATAATTTGTTGTTGTTGATTTCATCAAACGTATTAATATTTGTATAATAATCAAATAAATAACAGAAATATAAATGGAATAATGCCAATATTCATTTGATAATGACATAATTCGAGGAAAATTTCTAGCAAACCATTTTTCAAATTCAAAAATATTTGTTATACCGGGAAATTTTCGAAAATCATTAATCGTATGGTTATAATGCCCATTTGGAAATTGTTGATAATATTGATGATAACGTATATCATTGAATAATGATGATTGCGTTGAAAACATGATTGATTTCGAATCAAATCAATCGATCCAGAATGAACACAAACAAAATTGATTTGGAAATGAAGAAAAAACCAAAAAGAAACCAAAAAACCAAGAAGAAACCAATCACACACAATAGACCAAGATAGTAATCAATGATTGAAAACTGTAAAACAAATCAAATAAAACTATCACCAATTATCAACATCGACTAAACAACAATCAACGAATATGAAAAGTTTGTTTGTAAAGTTATTAATTATTATTATTATAATGATGATGTTCATTTGACAATCAAATGTCAAAATACACACACACAGACACACAAAACAACAATGCTGAATGCTGTTGACATTTGGATTGTTTGTTTTTTGTTTTTGATTGTTGGCTATAGCTAAATATACATAATATTATATTCGATAACCAAAAAAGTACATATCGTTGTCGTCGACGACAACGATATCTTTGTTGTGTTTGACAACTCGAAATTCCTATTGTGTCCATGCAATGCTGAATCAAAACGGAAATAAGTGTTATTCGTTCGTTCGTTTGTTCGTCGTGTGTGTGTTTTGATTTGTAATCAGACTGTGATTTTACTAGAAAACAAACTAGCAACAACAAATCAAAGATTCTTATCAAAATCTTGATTGATTTGTTGCTTGTTGCTTGTTTGTTTTTTCAAACATTTTCAAAGTTCAAAGATCAAAGATTTAGTTAAAATCCAGGACAGAAAAAAAGTCAGGTTTTTTTTTCGAAAAAAATTTTTAATTTCACCCTTTTTTTTGTTGACCAATAATAATAATAATAATAATTTAACACTGTGTTATCCATTCAGTCATGTGAAATTACAAAAAAAAGAGATTATCAAATTAATTTAAAATAGAAATGATTCAAAATATTTAAATAATCAAAAGAAAAAATTTGATAATAACAAGCCAATCAATGGCGATTATCATCGTCAGTTGAGTTGAGTAAGTTTAGTTGAGAGTATAATAAATTTATCAAAAGAAAAATGAAAATGGAAATGAAAGGGTTAAATTTTTGCAAATTAAAAAATTCTTTGTGAATAAGATTTGAAAAGGGGGTTTTTCCCGCAACCAACAATAATATTCATCATTTGTTGCTGACGTCAATAATAATGTAATGAGTTTTTGTTTTGGCTTTCTCGTAGGTAAAAAATAATAAATATTATCGCTTTGATGATGATGATGATTATGATAATCGTTAACGATTACGTAGTTTGATTTGGATTTGATTGAGCATCATTAAGTGTGTGCGTGTGTGTGAATTGAACATGTCGTTGATGATGAGAATAATCGTTGATGACGACGATGGTCAATTGATGATCGTCAATTGATGATGGTTGATTATTGTAATTTTTTAATCACTTCTTTACCATTTGGATTATTATTTAAATCTTTAAATATAGCATTACCATTAGCCATTGCAACTTTTACGGCTTTTTTCGATGATGGTATTATATATGTACGAATGAAAAAATTCATAAACAATAAAAAGAATAGTCCGTATAGGGAAAAACCGGTTAATGCAACAGCTAGGCTAACATCACATGGTTGTTCAATTAATTTTAAACGTAAACAATCAATATGAATATAAAAACCGAATAACATTTGTACGATTTGCAATGTTGTTAATGTTACATTAACTTGTCTTGGTAAACGATAACCCATTGCTGTTAATGCATAATATGAATACATTAATGTATGTACAAATAGATTCATATTAACCATCCATCTGGCTGTTGATGGTACATCACCAAAAACAAACCATGAATAAATTAATGTTAATGTATGATGTATCCAATGTAATTGAATTAAACGTCGTTTACGTAATACAATAAACATTGTATCAATTAATTCCGGTGCTTTGGATAATGTAAAAAACCAATACCATGCATTTATACGAATATCCTGTGAGAAATTAAAGGCAAAAAGAAAAAAAAGGAATTAGAAAAATTTAGAAAAAAAAATTTGACAAGTTTTAATCAGAAAAAGCTTTTCGAAATCTTTTCCTTTCGACTCAATGTTAACACTGTCAATTCGGATGAACTTGAATCAAAATCCAATCAGAAAAATCTTCCTAATAAAATCACAATTGAATTTTTCAAAAGTTTCATTGTGAAAAACAGAAAAAAATTTGACAAGAAACAATCATCATTTCCATGATGATTTCATCATTTCAATTTAGTTGGGGAAAAAAAATAAAATTAGAATCAATCAAAATCGATATTGAGAAATCAAGGTGTTAATAAAAAGATCAATAAATATTCGCACGTGTTAACTGTTCTGTTCAGTTTCTGTTCTGGCTGTAAAATTTAAATTTTAAATATCGTTCAAAAATGTAGGGAAAAGTGAATCAAGTCTGGCAAAATGAAAAAATTTCGCAAACCAAAAACTCAAAGTTTGACCAAGTTAGTTGGAAAATGAGTTGAAAATTTAACCTTGAATTAGTTTTTTTTTCAATTGAAACAAACTAAAAAAAACCTAAAAGAATTATTCAAAAGCAATGAGGGAAAACCTGTTGAAAATTCTAATGTGAAATTAATTCAAAAATGATAATCTTATGGAAAATAGAATGTCACCTTGCGCACACACCTTTCATTCAGAAATCATCATCACCATCGATTAATGAATATTTTAAAGATGCTAAATGCTGCCTGTAACTAACAACACTTTAAGACAATTGAAACTGGACAGAGATTATGATGATGAAAAGCAATTTAAATTTTGTTAAAACAATAACGAAAAACTTACCTGTACATAAGTATTCTGTGTATATGAATAGAAAAATCCATAATTTTTTAAAACATGAATGAATTCAGGCAGACAACGAACAGTACCCATTAATGAAAATATTGCTAATAACCAATTCCATATGATCAATTGTCGTCGTAATTCAAAACCTTTTACAAAATATTTATTCATTATAAATTTTAATGAAAATATTGTTATAATATAAACGATCGATATATAAATAGATAAATGCCAATAATTATTTGATGCCATTACAATTTCACGTGTATTATTTTGTACAAATATTTCACCCGGAAACATTATTTGTAAACCGGGAAATTTACTATAATCATAATTCCATGTATAATTACCGGCTGGTATATCACGATAATAATAATGATAACGTATATCATTCATTTTAAATAAATTATTTAATAATGACATTTTTTCGTTTGGTTTTTGATTCTTGATTTTTTTGATTTTTTTTTCGTTGTTTTTAGATCAGTTTCTTTGGTTCAAAGGCAACAAAATAATGATGATTTGATGGATGAATGGCTTGGTCACAAATGGATGACTGAAAAAAAATCGATCAATGATCGATTGATTAACAAAGTTATAAAAGAAAAATGAATTTTACTTCAACCAGGCCAATATATATTCACTAATCATCACCAGAACAATGATGATGATTTGAATGATGATTTGACAAAGTAATGGTCAAAGTCAATGTCAAAAACTTAACTAAAAATCAAAAAATCGATTCATCGAAGAAGAAGAACGAAATCAAATCAAAACAAAAAATGAAGAAATGTGATTGTATTTATATATGACAGACAGCCAACATGATGACGGCGACGATGATATCAATCGAAAAAAATATTAAAATTCAAAAATGTGCGCATGCGCTGTTTCCCTCGTCGTCGTCTTTTCATTTGAAAGAAAAATGTGTTTTTTTTGTTTTGCTTTGTTATATGATATGATGATATTGAATGAAAGAATGAAAAGAAATTCCACGAAGACAATGTAGTGGTTTCTTTGTTGAATTTTTGCATCCAAATGGCAAAAATGCACCCAGATACACACACACACCGTGAGAATCTTATCGTAAGATTTGATGACGAAAAACGCAAAAAAAAAAATTTATTGAAATTTTTCTAATTTTCTTCTACCGCAGGAACCAAAAATCAATTATCGTGGGGATGTGCGTTAATTAATCAAAAAAAAAAAATTGCAAAAACAAACAAACAAACCCAATGATGATGTGATGTGATTTTTCCTCAATTACGCAACATTTGCACCAGAAACCACAAAAACAAAAAAAGTTGAACGAAATAAAATTTATTGATAATTTTGACGTCATCATTCAATGAAATATATTGGGATTTTTTGTTCTTCTTCTTCTTCGTTGATTGATTTGTGGTTTTTGGCTTGTTGTTTACGACAAAATTATCGACAGGAAGATCGTAGTTTCAAAACAATTTTGTAATTTTGTAATTTTGTTGTAACGATTAATTATCGTCATTATCATTATCGTCATCGTCAGTGTCTAAAAATGATGAAATTGTAATTAAAAATTATCAATATGAAAAGGGGGATTATATTATTAATAAAATGTTTGTTTGTTTGTTTGAAATCATCCGATAACGACAGACGCCATTGCGTTTGTGTCATTGTTATCGTTGTTTCAAGTACAGCGAAAAGTTTTTTTTTAAAAAAGTTTTTAAAAATTTTAAATTTGGAAAATTCTTGAAAAAAAATTTCTATTTTAGCAAATCAAAAGGGAAATTCTTTGTCGGTTGAATCGATTGATTGAATCGAATCACCTCAATACATCCGTCAGATATTTTTATCTTTCTTTTTTTTAAAAGTTTTAACAAAAAAGTTTTTCCCTCTTCTTTCAAATGTTTCTTTTGATTTTTGTTGAATTTTTTTTCAACAACAAAGAATATTTTAGGTTTTTTGGGATTTTCTCTCCGCAGCAGCAGTTTTTTTCCGAAGAAAATGTTGAGGATAAATTTTTTATTTGGTAAAATTTCCCATAAATTTTCGAAAAGATTTTCCTTCCTTTTGTTTGTTTGTTTGTTTTTTGTTAAATGAAGCTTTTTTCCATCTTTTCTTGACTGGCTGACTGACTGATTGATTGATTGATTGATTGATCGATCATATCGAACCAAGTGTTAATGAAATACAAAAATTTCAAACAAAACAAACAATGATCATTATCATTGATAACCAAGCAACGACAACGAAAACAAAGTGTGATTATGATTAATGATTGAATTTAACCTTTGAATTTCATTTTTGAAATTAGATTTCTCGGTTGGAGAGATTGATTGAACCGATGATACAGGTAATTCAAATCAACAAGTTTTTTGTTTTGTTTTTTTGTTGATTCGATTCGATTTGAATGAAATTCCATTCAAGAATTCAAAAATTGCAATGTTTATTTGCAATTTGTTTTCATCAATTTTCTTTTTTTTTTGTTGTTGTTGAAACAAAGCAGGAAATGTTTTTTTCATTTATGAATCGAAAAATGATAACAGGTTTTGTTTTGTTTTCGTAAATTCACGCCATTGACATTGATCTTTGTTTAGTTGTTTGATTGTTGAGTTGAAATAGACGCTTATAGCAAAATAATAATGATTCTTTATCAAGTTAGTTTCAATCAACGAAGAAATAAAACGTTTCAAAGTTTCAAGTTTTCAAATTCACAAACCAAAATTTCATTTAAATGTTGAAATTTTTTTGATTATTTCTACCCAAATTGGATACATAATTAAGAAATGAGATTTTTTTTTGTTCTTCGTTTTGTTTTTCATCAATCGATTGCAATCAATCGATCGTTCGATTGATGATGATGATGATGATGGAACCATCAAGAGAGAGAGAGAGAGAGAGAGAGAGAGAGAGAGAGAGAGAGAAATTTCCAAATTTAATTACAGTTTCGATTCATGCAAAATTGAAGAAAATTTCTCATTACAAGTTCAATGTCAATGTCATTAGGAATTTTTTTTTTGTTTTGTTCACGGATTGAAATCCTGTTTTGTTTCCATTCAGATAGAATATTATTTTTCAACAACAAAAATTTCGACATTTTTTTTCCTTTTACTTGATTTTTTTTCAGAAAAAAATGATGATTTTGATGTTGATTTTGAACGTAGAATTGACCTTCGAATGAAATTGAAACTTTAAATCTAAATCAGATTGGATTTGGTTTGTTGTTTGTTTGTTTATGGAGAATCGATGTTTTTTAAGTGCAAAACTTTTGCAAATGTTGTCAAACCAGTTGATTCTTGATGATGATCCAGTGATGATGATCAAATCAAATCAAATCAAATGACAAGATGATGAATGATTAATTAATTATTCGGAATTCAATGTCAATGTCATCAGGTAATGTAATTGAAAAAGAAGAAGAAAAATTTTCAAAATTTTAAAATTTTGAAAAAACAAAAATTAAAAAAAAAACAGAAAATCAGATTTTCTGCCATCTATGATCGAAACGTAAAAATATTTTGTTTTTCACCTGAATATAACGCCATCTTTCGATTATATAGGGAAACTTTTTATGGAAATTTTTTTTTACAAAAATTTTCCCGCCTTTTTTTTAAATTTTAAATTTAAAAAAATTTTCAATGATTTTTTTTTGAATCAAAACAAAACCCAAATTTTCATTCAAAATTGATCATTTTCATCGGAGAAATGTTTCAACAAAAATCTGAAAACAGAAAAACGTAAACAGCCTTGATCATATTAAACGAAAAACAGGAAAAAAAAAATTAAATATCTTTTTGAAATTATAATTTTTTTCTGTTGTTGTTGTTGGAAAAACGAAAAAAAAAACAAATTGCAAGGACAATGTTTCTTCCAGTTCCATCATTACCATCATCATCGTCATCATCAGATGATGATGATGATAAATATCATCTGATATGGCCAATGGCGATTTGTGTTTCTTTTTCTTTTTTTCTCGTTGCTTCTGGGATGCTAGAAGCAAAATTATTATTTATTTATTAACAAACAAACAAACAAACAAATCAAGGTTTCTTCTTCTTCTTCTTGTATATTCTTGAATGAATATCATTCAATTCCCATTAACCATCCATTCCATCAATTTGGTTATCAATGACAAATGGCACTACCCTTTTTTTTCATTTATTAATCATCATCATCATTATCAATAATGAAGGGAAAAATGGAAAATCATCATTATCATAATTATCATCTTTTTTTTCGTTAATTTGTTAGCCAAATGCACTTATCCAACGGATAATTAGTTGGCCATCATAAATCAATGATTTTTTTCGTTTTGGAGTTTTCAAACAAACAAACAACAAAAACAAAAACAAGCAGTAGCTACCGCTGTTTTGGAAGAAAATTAAACAAGTTGAGGTCATCGTCATTGGCAAATGTTTTGCAAAAATGAATTGAAGAGAGAGTGAGAGAGAGAGAGGGAAAAGCAAATTGATACAAATTCTATATCTGGATGTTCATAGTATTTGCATCTGATGACTAATTTCTGGAATTTTTTCCCTCTTCTTCTCGAATTCAAGTTCAAAATTCAAATTTGTTTTGTTTTGTTTGAATAAAATTCCTCCAAAAATCCAGAATGTTCTGAAAGTTTTTTCTAGTGGAGAAATTTTTGTTTTGCGTATTTGGAAGCAACAAAGAAGAAGAAAAAATCCTCGCAAAAATATAATTTTTTTCACGATAAAAATCAATGTACGTTGTTGGATACGTTGACGTTGTTATTATGTAACTTTTCAATGAAACAAAATAAACAGCAGAAAGGAAATCCGAAATCAAAAATCAAAATTTTTATAATCAAAAAAATTATCGTTATCGATTTTACGTTTATTTCGGATCATTCATAAAATAAATTAATAGCTGATAGTTAATGACGTTTGAAACCAAAAAAACCAATTGGAAACTTTGTGGCAGAATTTGCTTTTGCTTTCCAGGAATTTTCCTTTCTGTTTTGTTGTTGTTCTGTTGTTAATTTCCTTTTTACAATTTTTCAATTTTTTGATTGTTGCGTTATTGGTAGAAAAAAAAGGTTCAAGGTGATAACGCAATTTTCGATATTTGATTGCCCATCAATGATGATGGCATAACTTTTCTCTAAATTGAAAACAGAAATTATGATAGATGTCATTGTTGTTGTTGATCATAAATACAAACAACAAGCAACAGACAACAACAGAAAACCGAATCAAAATACCGTTTATAATTGATTTTTGTTCCTTTGGAGAAAAAAAAAATATTCAAAGTCATTCAAATTTCGAAATGATACAGACAACATCTGAACAGAATCGAAAACAAACAAACAAACGATTGCCACGTGATGATGATGATGATGTTCAAATGGAAATTTTTCCCAAAAGAAACTTTTTTTCAATTTTTATTTTCAAAAAAAAATTTTATTTCATTTTTATTTCAATAATATATTTGGTGTTGTCAAGAATAAGAATTATAAAATCAAAATATATTTGTTTTTTCGTACATTGAAAGTTAATTATTCAGTGTGTGTACTGTCAATGTGTAAAAATGTTTTACAATTACATTTTTTTTGAAAAAAAAGAATCAAAATATCAATATGGAAAATATATTTATATAATTAAAAAAGTGTGTGTGTGTGTGTACGAAAGAGATAAGGTATGTCGTATGTTGAAAGCAAAAAAAAAAGTTATTGATCGTTGATTGATCGTTGATCGATTGATTGATTGGTCGATTATTGACATTTTTTAACAACACCTTTATAATGATTATGATTAATATCGCTTAGAATTTGTATTGGTTTTGTTGGTAATAAATATGTACGAATAAAAAAATTCATAAATAATATGGCAAACAAACCATATAATGTAACACCAGTTAATACAACTGAATATGATGTATCAACTGGATAGCCCATTAATTTTCGTCGTAAACAATCATAATTAATATAAAGTCCTGCAAACATTTGTGTTACTTGTAATGTTGTTATTGTTACATTTATTTGTCGAGGTATTTGAAATTTTAATGCTTTCAATGCATAATATGTATACATTAATGAATGTACGAAAAAATTCATACAAACCATCCATCTTGCAGTGGCTGGTACATCCGTAAATACAAACCATGAAAAATTTAATGTCAATATATGATGTATCCAATGTAATGGTATTAATTTGGATTTACGTAATACAATAAACATTGTATCGATTAATTCAAATGCTTTGCTTACGGTAAAAAATAGATACCATACGGATAGACGATAATCCTGTTTATTATAAACATATAAAAAATCATTTAGAAAGGGAAAAAATTAGTTACAAAATTACTCACAGCATAATAAGTTGATTTTGTATATGATGCACGAATACCATCAGTTTGTATTATATGTATAAATTCAGGTAAACAACGATATGTACCCAATATTGAAAATATGGCCAAAAATAAATTCCATAACATTAATAATTTCCGAAGATTAAATGCCTGACGATTATGCATTAAATGTTTAATACCAAAAATTATTAAAACATATGCTATTGATATTGGAAAACAATATGACCAATATAATTGTGTTTGTAATTGTACCCAATTACCGATCGGTACGAATGCACGTTCAAATGCAAATGAATTTTGAAAACCAGCAAATTTTGTTACATCAGTATTCCATGAATGACTTTCATTTATTATATGATAATTTGTATAACGATAATCAGGTAATTCTATTAAACCAAATAATGAATATGTATTTTTCATTACGTTTGTTGCCATTTTTTCGTTTCGTTTCGTTTAAATTCGGTCACAATTTTCGGTTTATATTAACAACAAAATAATAACGGACGTCGATGATTTGAGAATTTTTTTTTAAAATTAAATTAAATTAAAAATTTGTAACACCACAGCTTGTAAAAACACACATACACACACAAAAAAAAGTTTAAATCACATTAAAAATTTGTAAAAAAAAAATTATATCTTTGGTTACAAGTCGAAATATCTTCTCTGTTGAGTTGTTTTGTAATTTTTCGTCGAAAAATCAATTATTTTAAATTATTGAGCATCATCTTTGTAACAATAATGTTGTAACTTTGAAACTAAAACGAAAATCAAAAAAATGTCATGTTTAAAAAATGTGAACACGAGGAACGAAATGACAAATTGATTTTATGTTTTTGTTTTTGTTTCTATTTAAAAAAAGCAAAAAACAACAAAAAAAATTTCAAATTTATATATTTTCTACCGAAAACAAACGAACAAACAACAACCACCAATCATGTCGTAGTCGTCGATGATGGTGGTGGTGGTGATAGTGGTGGTCGTCTTCATCGCTGTTTGATGATGATGATAATAATAATCATCGTCATTATCATTATCATTGGGGTTTGTGTTTGTTGTCGAAGTCGACGTCTTCTGCATATACAGAAAAAAAAATTACGCATACATTTTTTTTTCTATTGCGCATGCGTCAAAATTATGAATCTAAATAAGCATTCATCATGACTATCAATCAGAAAAAAAATGAAAAAATGAAAAATTCAAAATGAAAAGAAAAACTTTGCTTGAAATGAAATGAAGAAAAGCAAATTACATCTTCGTCATCAAATCGATAGATCGATGAATCAATAATGATGATGATCGAAACAAAAAGATAAAGATAATTAAACAAGGAATCTTTATTTTTTTGTTGTTTGCTTGCTATTTAAAGAAATTCTTAACATAAGGAATGGAAAAAAAAGAAACAACAATGTTTTTCTCTTGATGATTAAGACGTTGTCACAGAATAAATATGACTGTTTTAAATGATTTTGACATTGGATATCATTTTTATTTTTTTCATTACCTGTTGCTTATTTATGCATGCATGTTAATTAAGATGATTTGTTTGTAACTTTTTTTTTCTTCTTCTTAAAATAAACCCTTGTTGAAAATGAATGTATTTTAAATTACATAGTGAAAATTCAATCAATTTTTTTACATTTTTTGAAAATTATCGATTTTTTTTTTCGTTTTCTCTGTTTGATTGAATCATCGAATTGAATCATCGATTGAATTGAATGGAATGATGATGATGTTAATCAAAAAAAAAAAAAGCAAAACGAATGAATGAATGAAAAAAAGAAATTATTCAATCAAATCAATAAATCTTTTAGGAATTTTTGTGGCAAAAATGAATATTTATGATGATCAAAAGGATGTTTTTTTCCATTAAATTTTCAATTTTTTAAAATAAATTACCAAGAGAGAGAGAGAGAGAGAGAGAGAGAGAGAGAGAGAGAGAGAG